GAATATGCCAAATATACATTCTGAATTTGTATTAAAAGTTACTAATATTCTGGAGGTATCACAATACCCAACTTCAAACTATACTACAGAGCCATAACAATAAAAATAGCATGGTACTGGCACAAAAACAGACAGGAAGACCAATGGATCAGAATAGAAGACTCAGACATAAACCCACATATCTACAGCCAAGTGATCTTCAACAAAGGAGCCCAAAACACACACTGGAGAAAAGACAGCCTCGTCAACAAATGTTGCTGGGAAAACTGTATATCTACATGTAGAAGACTAAAACTAGATTCCTGTCTTTCATCCTGTACCAAAATCAACTCAAAATGGATCAAAGGCATTGATATAAGGCCTGAAACTTTGAAACAACTCCAGGAAGTCATAGGAAATACACTGGAACAAACAGGTACAGGAAATGACTTCCTAAGTAGAACTCAAAAGGCTCAGCATCTAAGAGAAAGAATGAACAAATGCGACTGCATCAAACTAAAGAGCTCTGCACAGCAAAGGAAGCGTTCACCAGACTCAAGAGACAGCCAACAGAATGGGAGAAAAACTTTGCCAGCTACTCATCTGGTAAGGGACTAGTATCCAGAATCTACAGTGAACTCAAAAAACTCAACCCCCAAAGAATCAACACCCCAATGAAGAAATGGGCACTAAATTAAACAGGGAATTCTCAAAGAACGAAGTACAAATGGCCAGTAAATACATAAAGTAGTGTTCAACTTCCCTGGTTGTAAAAGAGATGCAAATCAAAACTACATTTCATCTCACCCCAGTTCGAATGGCTATATTCAAGAGCAATAACTGAAGAGGGCTCTGTTTCTCATGCTCCCTCCCTTACTAGAGCGAGGTTTTCTCTCCCACTCTTTGGATATTACTGGACCTAACTGGGCTTAACTGGGGGCGACTGGAGATTTTAGAAAGACACAGGATAGACAGACAGACAGAAAGTTGGGGTCAGGTGTGTTGTATGCTTGGTTGGAGACACCCAACCCTTATTGCTTCTTTTTTCTATCTTGATTCTTTAAGGCCTTACTCCTTGCAGTTCTTTAAAACCTTGCTTCAAAAGTCTTCATTAAAACCTCTTTCCTTAGGCTCACACTGTCTCATGTTTGCTCTCAGCTTATCTTTAACTTAATTGCTCTTAAAGTCTTTTGCCCCCAGGCTTGCACTGCCCCATCTCTCTTTAGCTCTCTCAAAGCCTCAGTTCTCAAACTTGCAAACCAATAGCCCCACCTAAAAACTGCATGTGCATAACTCTTAAGGTCTTGGTCCTTACTGAGACTTGCACTGTGCACTGTCCCATGTTCTCTTTGACTTTTCTTTAGCTTTAGCTTTCCTATGGACTATGTATGAAGTTCTTTCTCAGCTTTGCTTTCTGAAGCCTATGCTAAAGTTCTCAGTGCAGACTTTCTATCAACCCCTCTTTAGCATTTTTTTCCTTCAACAATTTGTTTTGCTTCAGCCATTTTTCCCTTCAACAATTCTTTTCCCTTCCAAAAGCTTCCCACACCAAAAGTCCCCTAGTAAAAGCTTCTTCCAAATATTCAAAGGCAAAAAGCACCCCAAAGCAAACAGTCCAAAAGCCCAAAGTAAAGCCCCAAAAGGCAAAAGCCCCTCTTCCTCCTTCAGGGGTCTTCTATAGCAGCAAACAGGTTGAAGCCACTGGGAAGGGTGTGATATTGCAACAGGAGAAACCTGCATTCTGGGTTCTGCCTTTCCCTGTTTCGTGGCCAGGGGCTATGCCTATCTTGGCCTACAGGTAAAAGCAATTAACTGCATCTCGCCTTGCCTGTGTCCAGTTCTCATAGGCTTTAATCCGCTCCCACAAATAACAACAACAAATGCTGGCGAGGATGCAATGAAACAGGAACCCTTATACACTGTTGGTGAGAATGCAAATTAGTACAACCACTATGGAAAGCAGTATGGAGATTTCTCAAAAAGTTAAAGATTCAACTGCCACATAATCCAGTGATACTGCTCCTGGGCATCTACCTAAAGGAACATAATTCAGGATAAAACAGAGACACCTGTACACCAATGTTCATTGCAGCACTATTCACAATTGCCAAGCTCTGGAAACAACTCAGATACCCTATAACTAATAAATGGACCAAGAAAATATGGTATATATACACAATGGAGTTTTACTCAGCCATAAGGAATAATGACATGTGGTTTAAAGGTAAATGGAGACAATTGGAGGACATCATGTTAAGTGAAGCCAGATTTGAAAAATGGATGAGAGGTAAAGGTTAAGGGAGAGTAATGGAAGGGGTTGAATGGACCAAAATAAAAGTATACCCTACTGTGGGGATACATTGGGAAACCCCTGTGAACATCAACTTAAATATTAGTAATAAAAGACAGGACTGTAAAACAGGTACAGTGTGTGGGGATGGGTACTAATGAGAGGAAGGAGGGTGAATGAAGGCAATTAAGGTGAGGGTGTATGATTGATGGGTTTAATATAGTTACATGAAATAGAACAAAGAAACTTCTTGAAATTGCTTTAAGTGGGGCAGGGAGAGGGTTGACGGGGAGATGATGGGGGTGATGTAACTAATGCACAATATACGCCTAATTGGAATTGTCACTATGAATCCCTCCCCGTATAATGAATGTATCATAATAAAAAAAATTTATAAAATAAATAAGTTACTGATAGTAGTGTTACTGTATTTTAGCACAATAAAAACGGGATTTAAATACATAATATTTAATATATAAATATATTTACCATTACATGCAACAAACAAGTGCAGCCAGATTCTCCATCCTGACTCTTGAAGCAATTACTCATAACAGTTCCTTAGTATTTTTCCAGATTTAGTCCATGCATACGCCAGCATAACTATGTATATATATGTATATGTATGTGTATTTGCATGATCATATGTACATCCCTCCCCAAAATGATATAGTAGCTATTTTTAAAAATCCAAACAAAGCAAAATACAACTCTAGGGTAATCACTCAGTTGCAATCATCTATCATATCATATCATGATGGGGTGTTACGAAAATTTCCAAATAAGCTTTACTTCCCCAAATTATTAATGTACTTCTTCATGTAATACACTTAAACCATTATATTTAAAATTACTTCATGTAGTAGTAAATAAACTGTCATCAGAAATGTACATCCAAGGGCTGGCAGAGTGGCTCAAGTAGTAGAGCACATGCTTAACAAGTATGAAGCCTCAGTTCAAACCCCAGCACACTGCCAAAAAAAAAAAAAAGAAAAAGAAATGTACAACCAAAATTAAGAACAATATGAAAGCTGCCCCAAGATGATGCATACTTATTCAACATTCACCAGATAATTACTAAGTCCCTCGTTGGTGGCATGTACCACCCATTCTAAAAGTACCATTCTTTTAATTATTTGATAATTTCAACAGTTATTGACAGTTAACACATAGACACACAGGAAAAAAACAATCTCCTTAGGTCTTAAATGGCTTCACAACCTCTCGGGTCAGTGCACCAAACAATCACCTAAAGTGATGTGGAATAGTAAAAAGGTCCCTGAAGAAATTCAGGACCTGCAAATGACAAGCACAAGAGAGCATCAGCTCCCTAAGGAAGCCTCTACATGAGGCCTACAAAAGGATCATTAAAGCAACTACAACACTCTTTCAGAGAAGGAAATGAACTAATTGTCTCCTAGAGGAAGCCAAAGTTTTATTAATTGGTGGCATTCAAATTTTATAAAAGATAGGTATAATTTTAACTTTTCTGCCCACTATTCTTAGTACATTCAGGCTTGTAAGACTATGTGTTTGTATATATTATTTGGAAAACATGGTCAAGGAATACAGGGGAATTAAGGAAAGACAAAGGAAACCCAAAAAAGTATAGCATGTACAACGTGATCTAACCGATAAACTAGTAGAAGTGTTTTAGAAAGTATGCATTGTTCAACAACCTCCTGATTTTAAGGAAACATGTTTTGTTCAATGGCTTCCTGGGGTTTTTGGTGATGGTAGTTTTCGTTTGTTTGTTTGTGGTGCTGAGGTTCAAGACCAAGGGCTTTGGCCCCAGGAGTCAAACATTCTACATCCCCAAACCCTTGCTTTTGTTTTGTTCATGTATCCCTAGTAAAATATTTTCAAGCCTGCATCTCCAAATATGGTTGTTTATCTACATAAATATATCTGTATAATATGCTATATGTTATAAAATAGATGCAATCTTTTAGAAACTAAAAGGAGATAGAAGCCTGAGGTAGTAGCACACGCCTATAGTCCCAGCTACTTGGGATGAGGCAGGAGGGTTGTTTGAGCCCAGGAACTTGAGGCCAGCCTGGCAACACAGCAAGATCCCATCTCACACACACCAGAAAAAAGAAGAAAAAATAATATTTTTCTTTCTTCTAAGGGGTGGAAGCATCTAAGACAGGATCTTAATATATAGCCCAGACTGGCCTCAAACTTGAAATCCATTTGCCTCAACCTTTGCAGTGCTGGGATTAAAGGTGTGCACCATCACACCTGGCCTTTCTTTTTTTTTTCTTTTTGTGGGGTTAGGGATAAAACCCAGGGCCTTATGCATGCACTTATGCACTACATAAGCACTTTACCACTGAGCTCCCCTAGAGTAACTTTTTTAGCATTTTAAATTTAATTATTGGTATAAAAATCCTTTTTCTTATTAAAATTTATTTTTAACACTATGTTTTCAGTGAAAGCAATAGGAATTGAATGTTTTTTCTTAATTTTGGTTTAGCACTATGCTATATACCAAGAGGTAGGTATTTTTAGTACCACTCTACAGATTAGAAAGCTAAACTTTAAGAAATTATATAGCCTGACAAATGTCAGAGCTAAAAAGTCTGAACTAGGTGATCTTTGAGCTGTTTTTTCAGTATTAAATTTCTAGGGCTCAATCTCTAGCACACCAAAAAAAAAAAAAAAAAGAAAAATCTAGGATTCACTATAAGACCAAGAAAGATAAATGCTTTAGGCAGAATAACCAAACCTTTGCTGATCTCCACATTAGGTAGGTTGAAGATGTCAAGGTCCATTGTTCCTCCTTTTGTCCCTTCTGAGAGGTCTAAAAGGACCAGCTTGTCTGCAATGCCCTGTTTGGCACAATTAGAAAAGAACAGCATGACATTGGGCATGGCCAGTTACTTGATTTAAATTCATTAAGAAATGAGGGCTAACCTGGGAGCCAGCGGTGTATGTCTGTAAGCCTAACTACAGGGGGAGGCAGAGATCGGGAGGATCAAGGTTTAAGGCCAGCCTGGGAAAACAACTTGCTAAGACCCTATCTCAAAAATATCCAACACAAAAAAGGGCTGGTGGAGAAGTTCAAGAGGTAGAGCACCTGCCCAGCAAGGCTGAGGCCCTGAGTTCAAACCCCAGTACCACCGGAAAAAAAATAAAAAGTATTAATGGTGAGCTATCTTTTTTTTTTTTCCATTATTGTATTATTGTTGTACTGGGGGTACACTGACATTAACAAAAGGTCTTACAATATATCATAGTTGAATTCATTCCCTCCATCATTCTCCTTTATCCTCCCTCCCCCCAAAAGTGAGCAATCTTATGAAGCAATAAATAAAAGTGACAATAGCAATAAAAGTGACATGCAAGCAAGAAATTATTTTAATTTGAATAATGTGATCCCATTAGGCTTGACTACTGAAAACCAGGGTCTCAGAGGCCTTAACTCAGAAGCCACAGATGGAAGGTTTCCTTTGATGGAATGAGTGACAGAAATGACTTGGTGCACTCAGTAAGTTTGCTATTGTTCCTGAGCTTTTGTTTTCATTTTGATGTCATAATGTCCATTCTGAAACAGTTTATAATGATTTGGGGGTCTATTTTAGCACCTTATTCCTAGCCTGAAAGTCAAAACTAATGCCAGCTTTCTTTTTTAAAACTGGGTAATGACCATAAGTCTAAAGTCAAATTCTATTATCATGCAGTACCCTCTCCACAGATCTCATGGAAAATATGCCACTTGCCTATTTATGGCTCCCTGGGTAGCATATAGGCTGACTTGTAAATTTGAAAACAGCATTGAAATGCCTTAAAGTTTGTGGAAGGTCTTTCTAAGGTACCCAGAGCTCTTCCAGACTATCAAGCATAAAGACTAATTGTGAAGAAAACAACTCCCCTATACTAGCTGTTAGTTATATAACTCTGGCAAGTCACTGAAAGTCTTACTTCATGTAGTTGTGAGATTAATTATATGACACAGAGCCAGCTTATAGTAGTTCTCTCTAAATTGTAGCTATGAATTTTATTATTGTTAGCCACACTCACAAGGGAAATGCAAAGAAAAGTATGAGTTTCTACTTTCATTTATTAGATACACAAAGATCTAAAGGTCTAAAAACACTGGTTGTGGGAAAACAGGTATTCTCATACACCATAGGTGTGAGAATAAACTGATATAAGGGATGATCTGACCATTTCTATCAAAATTTTAAAACATTTTAAAATCTAAATTCAGTAACTCCTTTAACCCATTAATCTCATTTACAAAAATTACCCTATAAGCTTGTAAGTACATGTGAAAAAAATCACATGGTGTTTATATGAAGGTATTCATAGAAATAACCAAAATATTCATCACAAACAATAACCAGGAAGCAGTGTAATGTGGTGGTTTAGAGAAAAGCTTCTCACACTTTAATGGCTCAGTCACTGCGGGTTTTGTTAAAATGCAGATTTAGAAGTAGGATTACACATTTCTAAGGAAATTTTAGATGACAATGTTGCTGGTCTGGAAGCCATACTTTGCCAGTAAAGATCTAAAATACAAAGCACCAAGCCCTGAGTTCAAACCCCAGTCCCACCAAAAAAAAGGAAAAAAGATCTAGAATACAGGCTCTGATAAACAGATTACCTGTCTTCAAATCCTGGCTCCATTTATTAACAGTGTCACTTTGGGTAAACTGGGCAACCTCCCTGTGCCTTGGTTTCTTCATTGTAAAATAGTAAGCACAATTGGGGATGCTGTACAAATGAGTGAAGTGATGCCTGGCATGTAATAAGCATTTAATATAAAGATCTGTTACTGCTAGACTACCACTACTGGACTGCTTACTAGTGTTGCAATATTTGAATATTGTACCTTGTATCAAAACAATATTTAAAAATAAAAATGGAAAAAAGTATCAACCCAGATCGGCACACAGGCAAATAATGACAGTGAGACTCTTCTAGCAGTTAAAAAAATATGGCTTTAGGGTACTAACCTGTGTTTACCAAGGGGAGGGGTGGGAGAAAAAATAATCACAAATCAAATTAATAAAACTTAGTACTGTTACAGTATGTCAAAAACCAGGTTGATTGATATACATTATCTTTAGTTGCATAAATTAGTCCTGCCTTTCTGAAGAGCCAATTAGCAATATGTAATGAGTGCCATAAAACAATTCACTGCTGTAACTCATTGGCACTATTTTTGAGATGATGCACTCCCAAAATGAAGTAATTCATATGGAAAAATAAACAATTTATAAAGCAATGTTTACAGAAGTACTTTATTTAATAACAAAGCAGCAAATACAACTCAAATCTCAATTGAGAGGTAGCAGGGTACACAGATAGAGGGTGAGAAAATGAAACAAAACTATTCCCAAAGGTTAGCATATACTGTCCTTAACAGTCAACTTTAAAATTTTTCTAGCTCCTTGGATATTATTTAATCATTTTCTGAAGTAGAATTTACCTCCATACATGGATATCTTAAATGGAAAGGGAAAAATTTAGATGTCAAACAATCAAATTTTGATGGGAAAAGAAAACCCAGTGTCAGCCACCAAAAAAACATATAGGACAACAGTTATTCTATTCTAGGCTCTATCTCTCAAATGACACAAGACATGCTGTTACCATGATACTGGACCCTGGAGGGAGGCAGGCAAGGCTTTTATCTCTCTGGAATGGGATTTAAGCCTTTATGTAAACAATTTATACAGAAAAGAAGACTGACAAAAAATAAAAAAGTCATAAACTAATGTAAAATATTAACTCAGAAAGTATGATCCTAAAAGAAAATAATTACATAACGCAATCCTTTAAAAAAAAAAAAAACCTGCTAATTTTGGAAAGAGCTAAATTAAGTATTATATTAGGTTTTTTTTTCTTTTTTTTTTATTTCCTTTATTCATATGTGCATACAATGATTGGGTCGTTACTCCCCCCTTCCCTACATTAGAGTTTAATTAAACCATTACGATTCAGAAATCACACAAAAACTTGTAACAAAGTCAGATGAATGTCAAGTTGAAGCTTCCTTCTCCTCGATTAGAATGAGCCCATTGTTCAAATCACTTTTTCAAAAACCTAATTCCATGACTAGCTACTAATTAAGAGGTAACAACACTGATGAGAATGTTCAGCTTTCTTTTTTGGTCAACTTACTAAATATATTTTAAGGCAAAACGAAGTTTATTTACATGATAAAATGAAGCCATTATTTTTTGATGTTAAACATAAACTACCTGAAAGTCTACATGTGTTTCTAACCACTGTGATTTACATACCTTTGCTGAGATTGCTAATGTGCAGGCGATACCCAACTCTCCACCTCCAACCACAGTAATTTTATTGACTCTCTTATGCTCATGATTTGTTGAACTCTTTGAATGTATATCAGAGACACCTATAAAGAAAAGGGGATTATTCTGAGAATTTTAAAATATTAAAAAATCTTTTTGGCATACTTTAAAAATATATACCAAAGTTCAGTAACTCAGAAAACATTATGCTAGTCCATAACAGACATTTAAAAAGTACTTGAACAAACGCATGCAAGAATAATGAGTCTTATATTAAGTGTTTTACTAAATAGAGGCTATCTTTTTAAAAAGAGTTTTTCCAAACATTTAAAATAAAAGACTAAAAAAAAAAAAAAAAAAGATTTCCATAATTCTGAAAAAAATTCTGATTCTTATTGCTCTGGTCTACAATACAAAAAAAAGTTCAACTTCCTACTGAAACGTTCCAACCAGGAGTATCTGGCTTTATTCTTGGTAAGAAACACTGAGAATTATACATCTTCTGAATAAGCCAAAAAGCTACAGACACATGTAACGGAAAAAGGCTGGGATTATTAACATATATCAAGTGGTTTTGCACAAAATAAGAATTATTTGTCTGTGACAATAAGAAAATTTTTTACGTTTTAAACTTTTCATTGAAATTGTATAGCGATACCTTAGGACCAATATATAGGGATCTGTATTAAACACAGAAATGTGCATATACATGTGTATTTTTATAGAAATCAAGTAGCAGAGAGTAAAGAATATTAGTGAGAAATTCTAAGTTCACAATTTTTAAGGCAACCTGACTGACAAAAGTACAAACCTTCAGTGATTTTTGCAATATAGGCCAGCAAGTCTACCTGCCGGGCTTCATCAGATGATGATACAGAATACAGGGGAAGCTCCTCTTGAAATTTGGCAATCATTTCTTTAATTAATCCAACAATGACAGATTTAGGCTGCAAATACCAAGAGAAAAGTCACACAAAAATTCTGCTACAGAAAACTATCTCTTTAACCCATATATTGTCACAGCAAAAATGTCCAGTTGATCCTTGAACAATGCAGCTGAAATCTGATTAGCTTTTGGCTCCCCAAAATCTCACTAACAGCCTGTTCTTCACTGGAAGCCTTACCAATAACATAAGTGGTTGATTTACACATACTCTGTATGTCACATGTAAAATACAGTGAGAAATACATGAGAACCATGAAAGATCAGTTTTTACGTAATGTCCAATTTACTGGCAAGATGAACTGAGATTAATGTCACAGTGTTTTAAACAGGTATTCAGATCACAACAAGAGGTAATTAACCTTACACTACTACATACTCTATGTAGTACAATTAACTTTATGCAGTTATGATTTAATATTATACCTTTGTTTACGTTGTTGTTAAATGCAAACGGCACGATATCTGGTCTTTAAGTGTTTGTATAGGTAAGGGTCTTTTTTAGTGCTTTTTTATTTTATACTGGTTTTTGTTTGTTTCTTGGTTTTTTGTTTGGCTTTGAGACAAGGTTTTGCTTTGTAACCCAGGCTGGCCTGGAATTTACAGGATAGCCCAGGTTGGCCTCAAATTTTCTATATTCCTTTAATCCTGCTGGGATTACAGGTGTGCACTACCGCAGCTGGCTTCATAAATTTAATAAACTTTTTATAATAGATTTGTGTATATTCTATGGTAGTAAATGTTAAAATAGATTATCCTTGTATATTTTATGTATTTAAGATACACCAAACTACTCTGAATTTGATATTTCTAGTCAATGTGGTTCATTTGCAAGTTTTTCAAATTGTTGCAAACTAAAAAAAATTAAAAATAAATCCACCTATAAATGTACCCATGCAGTTCAAAACTGTGTTGTTCAAGGGTTAACTGTATTCAATCATATTCTCATTTTTCCAAAACTACTATACAAGTTATGTGATACTTTTAACTATTCCAACACTTTTAATTGAAAAAGAAAATCAAATTTTATTGTCATACAGTATCCTCCCCAGAGAATTCATGGGAAATATGACACATGCCCATAAAATAAAAGGCAAAAATACTAACCAACATCTCCCCAAAGCAGGAAAATAGCATGAATACACTTAGGAGCATAATATGTAGGTTTAGAAACTTTCGTTGTTTAAATTTTTTATTTTTAAGCAATTTCAGACTCATAGAAAAATTTCAAAAATAGCACATACACTTTTCACCCAGATCAATCAAGTGCCAGCATTTTACCACATATGCTCTCTTAGTCTCCTCTGAAACATGTGATGAGAGAAAATCGCAGACATGACGCCCCTTATCCCTAAAACCTTTACTGTGTATTTCCTAAAAGGAAAAAAAAAGATCCTTCTACAACCCTGGAGAAATTCACTTAATCTTTCTGTGCTTCAGTGGCATCAGTAACACAAGTGAATAGCAAGTCCCAAATGGTTGTTACAATCTAAACGAGCTAATGCATGGCAAATAGAAGCTGTGAAAGTAAAATGCATGTTTATTACTATTGTTATGATAAATATTTAATAGTATGCTCATTTTAAAAGTGCTTAATTTCTCAGAGTCTGGGTTTCACTATTTATAAGTTAAGAAAATGCCAGTAGGGTCAAAAACACAAATATCACTGGGTGCCTGTGTCTCATACCTGCAATCCTACTCAGGAGGCAGAAATCAGTAGGATCACAGTTCAAAGCCAGCCTGGACAAACAGTTCTAGACCCTATCTTGAAAACATCCATTACTAAAAAGGGTTGGTGGAGTGGCTCAAGCAGTAAGAGCTCCTGCCTAGCAAGTCTGAGGCCCTGAGTTCAAACCCCAGTGCTGTAAAAAAATAAAGAAAGAAAAAGAAAAAGAAAACACAAATACTTTCAGGGACCAAGCAGATAACATGCAATGTGTGAAGTGTGAATCCACCAAGTATAAGAAAATCTGGACAGATGGTTATTGTGGCAAACTGGAGAAGTAATGCTTCAGGAATTAAAATCATATTCAGAACAAAACAAAAAAGCAAAACAAAGCCACTGTGCTCCTCAAACAAAATTCTATAAGTCTAATGTAGCCCTCTGAATCTCTTCAGGAACATGTCTGCAATCCCTGGTCTAGATGACTTCTATATTTCTTCTATCTCCAAAATTCTACACAATTATAGTGCCAACTGCATGTGGAACTCAAAGGCACTATAGCACTTTTAAATAGGGCAATTTAAATAATATCTTTTAAGACTTGTTTTAGCTTACAATAAAGAGGCTCAGAAAAGTAAAATGAATCAATATTGTCTAAACTAAATTGAGTACAATGTCAACTAAATTACAGGACTATCACAGAGTATGTAGTTAGTAAACAAAAAAAACTATGAAAAGAGATGTCAAAGAAAAACAGAGAGAAGAAACAGGATACAGGAATTCTTGCAATAGGGCACAGATGTCAAAATATGGCGGGGGGGTGAGGGGGTTATTTTGTTTTGTTAGAAGTACCTGGGTTTGAACTCAGGGTCTTGCACTTGACAGGCAGGTGTTGTACCACTTGAGTCATGCCCAGAATCCTCAAAATATAGTTTGAGGATAGTTGGAAAAACAAACTAAAAGCAAAAGGAAATGTGAGCAAGGCTCCTAGTACTGCAAATACACACACACAAAGGAATAACAATGGATGAGGAGATAGACAATTCAAAAAGGAAGAAACATGAAAAAAATATTTCAATTTCTCAAATAACCAAGTAATTAAAAACTAAGATTAAGATGCCATTTTGTCCTTATAATTGACAAGTTTTTATTTTTCATCACATTTAACTGGTAATTCTTATTTAAATCATCAGGTAATGCAAATAAAAAAATTTCATAAAGAAGTCAACTCCACAATGGACAATTTGGTGTGTGTTCTTTCTCTATTTCTTTTTCCTTCCTTTTAAAGGTTTTCTATGTGAAAATCATAGAAAACCATAAAAACAAAGTAAAATGTGCCCATCTTTTTACAACATGACTATTGAATAAGAAGTGATAACCCTAATACCACCTTTTTCTCCAAGTTCACTCAACTCTTAACATATCTATGTCCTTCAGTTCTATAACTTCCTAGGTACATGTAAGTTTATTATAAATCATCCTTTTATAAAATATTTAATTACAAAATGAGAACATACTGTACATCTGTCTAAGTTAATGTATAGAGATGAGCAGAGGTTTGTTTTGTGTTAATAATAATAACTCTATTAGAGAAAGGGTACTGTAAAATTGGTGTCCTCCTATACCGACTGCTAGTGACAGCAGAAATACAACATTTTGTTTGCCTTTTTGGAGACTTATTTGGTAATCTACAAGAAATCCTTAAAATATTTAAAAATGTTTGATCCAATAATTCTATTCCTAGGGATTAACATTAGGAAATTATTATGAAAAAAAGTTTTGTTTTTTGTTTGTTGTGGTGTTAAGGATTGAACCCAAGGCTCTGTGCACACTGGGTAAGTGCTGTACCAAGAAATTATTAAAGATACATCAGATATATACCTTTATATTTAACAACGATCAGGTTCATGTCTGTAATTCTAGCTACAGGAAGACCGTGGCTCAAGGCCAGCCTGGGCAAATAGTTCACAAGACCCCATCTCCAAAATAACCAGAGCAAAATGGACTGGAGGTGTGGCTCAGGTGTTAGAGTGCCTGCTTTGTAAGCACAAATCCTTGAGTTCAAACCCTAGTTCCACAAAAAAAAAAAAAAAAAAATTACAATAGGGTAATTGAGAAATATATTGTGTAATATCATTATGGTGAGTCATGAGGGAACCATTAAAAACCATGCATTTTGGAAATAGTTTAACATGAGGGAAATGCTCAATATAATTTAGATGAAATAGAACATAAATTTGCATAATAGGAGGACCTGTAAAACAGCTAAGCTACAAATATATATATCAATGAGGATGAATTTTATAAACTTAATGCTCAGGCTGGAGGTATAAAATCAGTGGTAAAGTGTTTCCCCAAGACTTTGATCCCTGGCCTATAAATCAAGGCAGTAGTTCGTGGTTCCAGCAACTTGGGGGGCAGAGATCTAAAGATAGTGTTTAAGGCCAGCCTGAACAAAAAAGCTCGTTAAGACCCCATCTCAACAGAAAAAAGCTGGGTCTGGTAATGCATGCCTGTCTTCCCTGCTACAAAGAGGAGGATCATGGTCCAGGTCGGCCTGGGCAAAAAGTGGGAACCTATCTCCAAAATAACCAGATTAAAAAGGGTGGAGGCGTGGCTGAAGAAGAGCACTTGCCTAGCAAGCATGAACCCTGAGTTTAAACCCTAGTACCACCAATAAAACAACAAAAGACATAATGCTCAGTTAAAACTCAGCACGTAACAGATTACATATTTCAATTTACATCATAATTCAATTTACATCAAGGCCAAAAACAGGCAAAGCTACAAATATGTACATGTTATATATAAATACATATACATGTATACACATATTTATTTGTGTGTACATATAAAATACAAGCATCTATTACAGGGAGGAACTGGGAAATCAAGCCCTAGTGTCTTGCTAGTAGCTTTTCATGTGCTTTCTCAAGTGGCAAGCAGTTATAAAAAGACAAGGAACAAACACCAGCTGGCTCCCAGACCAGGAGACAGAAGCTTTGTACAGGCTGTTGTCATGAGGGCTCTGGGACTTGAATCACCCTAGAGAGCTGAATTGCAAATTACTTCTAAAGATAACATGAAGACTGTAATTGAAAGATAATGCAGTATGCTTATACTTTGTACCATCAGAATCAAACAGAAACTTTTTGAAGAAAATGCAGGCTGATCTTACATGGCTCCAGTTCTGGAGATAGGGCAAATATATCCTGCCTTGAGCATCAACATGTTTTCCAACTGAGATTCCCATATTTGCAGTTGGCTTCAAGAAGCAAATGGGGGGAGCAAAAGGGTGAGAATCCAAAATCCAGAAACGAACTGGTATGTTATACGTATTACCTATTTGAGACAAAATAAACACAGCTTCAAACAATAATTAAGCATACACATTACATTTATGATATACCAAGGTGGCACTTTAAGATATGAGTAGCTGGGTGTGGTGGTACATGCCTGTAATTCCAGCTACTCAGGAAGCTGAGGTAGGAGGATCCGATGTTTGAGGCCAAACAACAGCAGGACCCTGACTCAAAATAAAATGAAAAAGGGCTGGGGATATAGTTCAATTGTAGAGCATTTGCCTAGCATGCAAGAGGCTCTGGCTTTTATCCCTAATCCTGAAAAGAAAAGGAAGAGGAGGGGAGGGGAGGGAAGAGAAGGGGAGGAAAGAAGGAAAGGAGGAAGGGAGGGAGGGAGGAAAGAAAGTAGTCAAGTTTACATATAAAGGATTGAAGTAAATCAAGGTCTGTTTCTCCCATTTTATCCACATTGGAAATATATTCTTTACAATACCAGTATAACATGTGAGGAAATTAATTAAGACAATGACCAGCTCATACAATTCATTCCAATAAATAGTCACAGGATCCACTGTGCCATTAGCATGGGATACATCTTTTCTATGTAATTTTCTTTGTCCAAACCAAGCAGAGATATTGTACCTTCCTTGAAAAGTAGTGGGTATCTCTATTTTTGTATACACTGAAATTATTTACTTACCAGCCTGCTTTCCTATTATACTGTAAACTTCTGGAAAAGATTATTTCTGATTCACTTATATATCCCAGCACCAAGTATAATGCTTAACATACTAGCTGCATAGTAAGTTTTTTTAGCATGGGTATACATGCCTGCTATCCCAGCACTTGGGAGGATGAGGCCCAAGGATCACAAATTCAGCCAGCCTGGGCTACATATTAAGTTTGAGGCCAACCCAGACTATATAGCAATACCCTGTCTCTAAAAAGCAAAACAAAAAGTTTCTTAGCTGGGTGTGGTGGTACCCATCTGTAATCTCAGCACTTGGGATGAGGAAGCAGAAGGATCAGAGTTCAAGTTCAAGGCCAGCCTGAGCTACCATGAAACACTGTCACTAAAAAAACAAAAAGTTTCTTAAGGGCGTGAGGATATAAGGAGTGTAAATATGGTGGAAATATTGTGTACATGTGTATTTATATAGAAAAATGAGCCCTGCTGAAACTATTCCAGGAATGGGGGAAGAAGGGATAAAGGTAAATGATGGAGGGGGTGAATTCAACTATGATATACTGGAAGAACTTTTGTAAATGTCACAATGTACCCCCAGTAAGTAACAAAATTTTAAAAATCAACCCCTCAAAAAAGTTTCTTAAGTAAATAAGAATGTACAAAACAAATGAAAAATGAATGAATGAACCAAATGGAGTTTGATACTTGCCTCAAGAGCTGAATAAGTAAGATAGTATAACACATGAGCTGATTAGATACATAGAACTTAGAGGTGAAAATAAACTTAAGTCACCTTGCCCAGTGATTCTTAAATTTTAGTGTACACAAGAATTACCCAAAGAAAATGAAAAAATATGCAAATTCATGGAATTTATCTTCAGAGATTGAGATTTTAGTAGATATGGACAGAGCTCAAAAATCTGCATTTTAAACACCCCCCCACACACACACACCCATACACTGCACAAGATTATGATGCAATAATCTGTGCATCTTTTGGAAACACTGAAAGAAACACCACCTTTTGGAAGCACTCCAGTATTGTTTACAGAACAGGAAGTAGGCTCTGTAAGTGATAACTACAACAAGATCAAGAAATGACTTAATAGGTCTGGGAGTGTAACTCAGTGGGAGAGCACTTAGCTACCATGCATTAAATCTCCAGCTGGAATAAAATAAACTATTTAAGGACAGTTTATTGAGCATATGCTCTTCCAGTTTTAACCATACAGGTCATGCCTACCAAGAGTAAAAATCTCTGACTACCTTGGTTATCAGGAAGCCCAAAGGCAAACTCACTTAAACTTACACTAGAAAATTATCCTAACTGTTCTATCTCTTAATATGTATTCCTATCTCATAGTCTTAGTGAATATGTCTTTTGATTTACTTAAGAACATACTGCTCAGGACAAGAATTCTTAGTTCCACACGCTACTAAGCTATAGGACTTTAAGCAAGTTACTTAACTTCTCTGTGTCCCAATTCCTTCTTCTATAAAATGAGGATAATAGTAGTGCCTATCTCATAGAATTGTTGTGATGAAATGAGTTAATGTATGTTTACATGACACAGTAAATACCGAGACTGGATAACAGAGGGAAGGTAGCATGAGAATGAAAGCAAGTTAAAACCAAGGGAATAGAAAAGAATTCAAAGTGAACCAAGAACCAGGAGCTAAGAATAAGCTGTTGATAGGTCACTTGAAGGTTCTCACTCCCCATTACCATCTAGTAGCAAACCATGCTATTAACCTCGCACTGATGATTTGTCCAGACTCTGGATAAGCACATTCTGGGTAAATATCTCAAGAAAAACATCTGAGCTGGGCACCAGTGGTTCATTCCTGTAATCCCAGCTACTTGGGAGACTGAGATTGGGAGGAACTTGGTTTGAGACCAGCCCAGGCAAGTAGTTCACAAGACCCCATCTGCAAAATAACCAGAGCAAAATGGGCTGGAGGTGTGCTCAAGTGGTAGAGCAACTGCTTTGCAAGCACAAAACCATGAATGAGTTCAAACCCCAGTCCCACCAAAAAAAAAAAAAAAGAGAGAAAAAAGAAAAACATCTGGCAATACTCATCCTTGGACTAAAATGAGACCTCGTTAAAGGAAAATAAGTATCTCCTAATGATAGCTTTTTCTGTCTTATCGTCTAAAAAATATAATTAAAAAAAAAAAAGTACCTGGCAGATCCAAACACCTATCTTAATAAGGAGAGTTGGTCTGGGGGAATCTAAAACTTACCAGCTTCAAAACATAAAATATGTATGAGAAAAGGTTATTGAGATTATAAGATTAAAAATACAAATAAAAATCAACATTAATTTTCTCAGTATTCACCATTTTCCCAATTAAGAAGAATATATGAAGAGTCAGGCATGGTGGCTCATACCTGCAATCTCAGCTACTCAGGAGGCAGAGATTGGGAGGATTTCGGTTGAAGACTAGCCTAGACAAAAAAAATTAGCAAGATTCCATCTCAACAAACAAGCCAGGCATGGTGGTTCATATCTATGATTCCACTATGTGGAAGGCATAGGTAATATGAGGCTATCGCAAGCAAAAAGTAAGAGACCCTATCTAAAAAATGAGTCAAAATGCAGAAAGGAGTGGGGGCTGGCTCAAATGGTAAAGCGCTTGCCCAGCAAGCACAAGGCCCTAAATTCAAACCCAAATACTGCCAAAAGCATACAAGAATAATGTATGATAAAGTTTCTCTGACCTTGCCCCAGATAAATGATGCTCCCAGGACTCAAAAATGCTTGGCAGAGCAAGTTGTTTGACCAAAAGAGTGCCAAATAAAAGTTACAAAAAACAGACACTCCTGTCACAAGTCCCTTTAATTAGTAAGATTACCTGAGAACTCATGTCTCCATGCTTGAGTGATAAGATCAAACTTTACAACAGCAAAATGACTTCAATAGCACCAGGTGCAGGCATAAAGAGCATGACTATCTGGAGGAAAGCTGAAGTTAAACTCCTTCCCACACATGAGCTAGTATAGAAAGCCCCAAGGAAAAGGCCACAAATTGTGTACCACCTGCATACAAGCTCTCGTGTGCTTACTCTGCATTAGGTAACTAATAAAATCTTTGCCCCTTCCTACTTTGTGAATTATTTCTAAATTCTTCTCATGAAATGGGACTCAATACCAGTCCTCCAGGTAAGGGAACAGGGTGACAAGTCGAGGATCTGATTCAGATCCTCCTTCATCTAAGGTATCCCATTTCCAAATGGTGTCCCATTTTGGAAATAGGCCAGATAAAAACAATAAATAATTCTCTTTTTCACTACTATCTTTTTCTCACTAAGGAAATCTTCCTTCCACTGAATGTTACTGTTTCCATCTTTCTTCCTCCCCAGTAAGCACACTGATACACAGTCATATCTACACATTAGAAACACTGAAGGAACTTTGAAAACACTTGAAATTTGGCCAATCCCCAGTGCTTCTGATTTAATAGGCAACAATTTTTGGGTTTTTCTGGTGCTAAGGATTGGACATACAGCCTTGCACATGCTAGGTAATTTACTCTCTTACTAAGATACATCCCCATCCCCAAACAACATTTTTTAATGGCTTCCCATTTAATGCTAATGTACAACCAGGATTAAAAATTAGCATATTATAGGAATACCTGGGATTCTATTGGTTTGATATTGGCCTTTCTCAGAACCATACACCTTTAATTTTTATTTACATATTTACAATATGGGCTTCAGCATACCCATATCTATTAGTCCACAGATAACCCTATGATTGGGCTGGAGGCATGGCTAAACTGGTAGAACACCTGCTTATCAAGTACCAAGGCCCTGAGTACCACCAAAAATATTTTTTTAAATAATACTATGATTATAGAGTCATGTAATTATAGCACCATAAAATGACCAACAGGTACCAAAACACATCATTACATTCTTCCAGAAGTTACTATCTAATGGTGATATACTCTAGACCAGGGTTTTCCAACAATTAGTCATAATAAATGGTCAGGAAATAACCTGGATAGGCTAAAAACAGTATTTTACATGAAATTGAATAGAAAACAGAATATATGACAGGTAGTAAGATATTTCAGTTATATATACACACACATATATGCTAGCTAGCTATATAAAAATCTTATTATAGGTCATACTCAAAGCATTTGAAGGCCACTGTTGGTGAAAAAGAAATGTTTATGTTTCTAAATATAGCTAGAGTGGTAGCCCAAACCTTGATGAAGACACTTTCTGTATTAATTACTGCACATTAAAGGAAAGAAATGTCTACTAAGTTATCCCCCTGGTTGATTAAGAACTTACTACCAAGTCAGACATTGTGACACATGTATAGTCCAAGCTATAGCTGAGGACTGAGACAGAAGGATCACTGGAGCTCATGAGTTTGAGACTAGCCTGGGCAACAATACAGTGAGACTCCATCTCAAAAAAAAAAAATGATTTTTTAATGTTCATTGATGAGCTATGGAGGCATAGCTCAAGTAGTAGAGCACTTGCTTAGCAAGTACAAAGTCCTGAGATCAATTCCTCTCCACCTCAATAAAATGTTCATTAAAAAAGTAAAAGAAGGCCAGGTGCCAGTGGCTCACAACTGTAATCCTAGATACTCAGGAGGCAGAGATAGGGATGACTACAATTCCAGGCCAGCCTGGGCAAAAAAAGTTCAGAAGACCCCATCTCAATCAATAGCTGGGTACGATGGCATGTGCCTATCATCCCAGCTACACAGGAGGCTGAGATTAGGAAGACTGTGGTTCCAGGCCATCCAGGGCAAAAAAGTTCAGAAGACCCCATCTAACAGAAAAAGCTGGACATAGTGGTATGCATCTGTTATCCCAGCTACTATGGGAAGCATAAATAGGACTGCAGTCCAGCAAAAAGGGAGACCCCCACCTCCAAATTAACTGAGCAAAAGGGGCTAGAGGTGTGGCTCAAGCACTAGCGTACCTGAGTAGCAAGTGCAAAGCCCTGAGTTCCAACCACAGTAACATCAAGAAGATAAAAAAGAGTAAAAGAGGGCTGGGGGCATGGCTCAAGCGCTGGGGCACCTACCTAGCAAGCACAAGGCCCTGAGTTCAAACTCTAGCACCATGAAAGAAAAAATAATAACAGTACTCTGCTGCCTCCACCAATGCCCCTCAGTAGCATTCATGCACCTTGACAGCCCGTGTCTGGAAAGCACCTGGTGACCCTGATGTTTTCTACCCTCATCTTCCTTCTTTCCTGTCAGCGAATGCCCTTCCTGCTTGGATTTTAGCAATTCAGCACCTGATAGAGTCCTCAAGTTTAAAGTCATTCTATAATAAGATTATAATCTAAATTAGATAAATTATTAATAAAGTTTAGATGGGCAAAAAAATTTTTTTGGATACTGGGGCTTGAACTCAGGGCCTTCACCTTGAGCCACTCCACCAGCCTATATGTGTGAAGGGTTTTTTGAGATAGGGTCTTATAAACTATTTGCCCAGGCTGGCTTTGAACCTCAATCCTCCTGTTCTTTGCCTCCTAAGTAGCTAGGATTACAGGGATGAGCAACCAGTGCCCAGCTGGATGGGTACAATTTTATCAAGATGATACATATCACTAAAGAATGAGAGTATGAGGAAAAAGTGTTATCATGACCTTAACACAATCTTGGAGGGACAATAAGAAATAATTCAGAAAATTTCTACAGGAAATTGTTTCAATTTCTAATTGCTTAAAAATTTTTGTAGCATGTATTTTTATATTAATAAATATTTTTAAAAAGCCAATGTAATTTAGTATTTACTATGGGTCAGGCACTAAGGCAAGAGCTTTACTCACTATAATTCATTTAATCCTCACAACACTATGAGATAGGCTCTATTACTGGCCTACTTTACAGATGAGAAACATAATACACCAGCAGGAAATAACTAATGTGCATTTCACACTGAGTTGACAAAAATGTAGTTAAAAGCAATGGAAAAAATAAAAGTGTACTGAAAAAAAGAAAGACATTTCACGTAGCATTACTACTTTAGGAAGACTGGGCATAACAGGGAGAGTGCCAATGAAGGGCATGTCACTGACGGTGTTAAGATAACCCTTTCTTGGGGCTGGCAGAGTGCTTGCCTAGCATTTGAGAGGCCCTAGATTTGATCCTCAGCACTAAAAAGAAGAAGAAGAGAGAGAAAAAAAACATTTATATTCTCATGTTACCTCCCCATACTCTAGAAACTGAATTTATAAGCGTCTCTGGTAATATGAAACTACCTTTGAAACCATTAGGGTAGGTAAGAATTACCTTTTTCTCTCAGAATGAATTATCTTAATCAATTTCTTTCCACTGCCTTCTCCTTTTTCTCTTTCCTATTCCCTTCCTTTCTTCCTAAAATGTAATCAAGGTAAATGCAAGTAATAAGGAATTGATCTGAGTGAAATTCTCTAGGCAGTCAGAAAATGTGCTGAGAGCTTGACAAGAGAGAAACAAGGAAGGAAAGGAAAAATCAGCTCTATGCCTGTTCTGCCTCCCTCCCTGTGCAAGCTCTGCACAGAGCCTCTGGCTAGTGCTCTGTCTCCAATCACATTCCTCTGCATAAAAACAAATTTATTCCTATATATTTCTTGAATGCCTCCCAGTGCTGAAGGAGGTGTCGTGATGGGACATACAAAGAGTCAGAGACCAAACAAAACCTGACTTACAATAAGTCATCACCTGGGAGAGGAGAAAATAAGGAGGGTTTGTGATGGTCTAGGAACTACCATAAACAAATACCTACTATAAGCTAGGCATGGCTGCACTTATCTGTAATCCCAGCAACTCGAGGAGTGGAAGCAGGAGGATCAAGTGTTCAAGGCCAGACTGAGCAAAGTTAGTGTGAGGTCCTTATCAGAAAAACTAAACACAAATAAAAGCTGGGGAAATAGCTTAAGTTGTAGAGCTGGGCCATAGGTTTGATCCTCACTACCACAAAAGAAAAAAAAATGAAAAACCGACTTTGAAAGAAGTCTCTCAAAATGCTGGTTTCTTTTAGGCAACATATAACCACTGTACCATGCTGAACACTTTCTGAAAGACAGCAAGCACCACTGTCCTCTCTGTTTGGTTTCCAGATTCTTCTCAGCCCTTTTTTCAGTGTACTGCTTCTTTCAAATGACCAGTAAGCTTATTTTTTCTTAAGCTTTTCCTTCAGTAACTAAACTAAATCAATCAATAAAACTTACTGAGAATTTCTAGTAAGTATAGCACTGTATTAGTGATTTTTGAATGTTATCCTTCCTATGATTACTTTCATTTTAAAAGAATGAAATTTTTCTTTTTGAGACAGGCTCTAGGCATGTAGCTCAGATTGGCTTTAAATCTGTGATTCTACTGCTTCAGCATCTGGAGTGCTGGGATTACAGGCATCACACCAGGCCAAGAATGAACTGTTAATAGTGGCATTTGGACACTACTTCAGAGAAGTGTTTTGGAACAAAAGTTTCAAATCATACTGAAAGGGGAACACAGGAATAAGTAAGTCTAGACAAATGAGAAGAATTAAGTAGAGGGGAAATTAGTGATTTTTTTCTTCCTTTCTGAACAAATTCTTAGCTATTTTAACCTATCAGGTCACCCTAAAATGTTTAATGACCCCTGTGTTTCAAAATTTTAGTTTGAAGTTTTATACCAACACTAGCTGTGTGGTCTTGACCAGGCTAAGATGCAGTTTCTTCAATGGAACACAAATAGTGCTACATCACGTAGAAGGAGATGGTGAGGAACAAAACACAGATGTAATGAAGAAAAAGGTGGGATCTCTGCTACAGAAAGTACAGATAACTCTCCCCAAAGGCAAGTCTGTGTCTGCATGCTCTTCTCTCTACCTCAGATACTCCCAAAGTAGTGGGCACACAGTTGATGATATGTATTTGTTGAATTGAATTTAATTTTGATGTTAATTTAGGTCTTTTTTAACTTACACAGAATGCTACCAGATCCAGTAAGGTCCTGAACAGATTGTGTGCATGTGTGTGAGAGAGACAGAGAGAGAAAGAGAAAGAGAGAGAACTTTGAGAATGTCATGGCATAAACAAATATACATTCTTATTAAATGAACTACTCTTAAAGGAAACTCCCATTTTCTCCATTCCCATACTTACCCTGATACATCACAGGAATAGTGCCAGTAAAATTCAGCAGGTCTTTCTGGGAACTATCTTTAAAAACTGTAAAGAAGAGAAAGTCCCAAAAATGTCATCAGAAGTAGAAAGAACACTATTAAAAGTGTGTAAGTGCACATATGTATACACAAGCACATATCCCACAATTTCAAAATACCAGGATCAAGACATATGTCAACAAGGGAAAATTACTAGATGTTGTTTACTTAGAAAGCAGTAAAAATAGTTAAAAGAACAGAGAATTTTGATTCTGAAATCCCAAGTTCTTGGCCCACTCTCCCCTCTTAAGAAGAATGTAACTTGTCTAGTGTGGATGCTGAGATGGAAAAAATGTGACTTTCAGAATAAGAAGATAGTATATAGTGTGGGGACAGTATTAAATAATTGTCATATGTAGCAAATCAGTTATAATCAGCTTTATAATTGAAGAAAAATGTTAGCATTGTTTTTTAAAACAACTCTTTAGAAAGATCAGAAATTATCTCCCTTGATTTCTTTACTCCATCATTTTCAATCTTTTTTCAAAATTTACATCCTTGAGATTTCACCTTTCCCATCAATAATTAGACCCAGACTGGTGGAGAGCTAATGCCCTAATCCTAGAACTGAATACAGGAAACACTGCTCTGGTTTCACACAATAAACTGCCTTGGAACGTAGTCTGTTTAATACCTCAGTAACTATCCTATTAGGGCAGAAGAAAATTTTCTACATAGATTTTGATGACCTGTTAGAATGGGGAAAGAGGAAACTAGGCTGTCCTACTCTGTTCAGGCTGTTATAATGAAGTACCATAAACTGGGTGGCTTACAAGCACCACAAACTCATTTCTCACAGTTCCAGGGGCTGGGAAATCCAAGATCAAGGTGCTGGCAGATTTAGTATCTGGGGAAGGCCTGCTTCATAATTCGTAGACTGCCATCTTTATGCTGTGTCCTCACATGGTGAAAGAGGTAAGAGTCTTTCTCAGACTTTTTCTACAAGGGCACTAGTCCCATTCATGAGGGCTTTGCCAAAGAGCCTCCAAAAAAGCCCCACCTCCTAATGTCATCATCTGTGAATGAGGACTTCATCATACAATTTGGGGCAGGGGCGGAGTGTGGTGACACGAACATTCTTACCATAGCACAGGCTGACATAGAACCCAAGGCCAAGAATGCACCTAAGTACAAACATTTACCCTGAACTACATGAGTGAAAGTAACACTAGGTGAAGCAACTACTCAAGGCAAAAATGAAAACAGAAAGGAGTGAAGATTACTACTCAGGACAGAGAATAACCTAGAAATGTGCTGGACACTCTAAGTGTGAACATGTATCCTCTAAAGTAGGAACTAAGGATGCAGCTCAGTGGTAGAGTGTATATCAGTATGTATGAGGCCTTGGGTTTGATCCCTAGTGCCACAAAAAAAAAAATACAAGTGATTATGATGCATGGCTATCATTTTCTCTGACAATAAAATGAACACTGACAACATTAATCCTATAATTCAAAAGTTTAATGGTACCAGAGCTTTCTGTAGATAGAGAGATATTTTAAAAAGAATTAAGAATTAATTTGGTACAACAAAGCATCATGTCTATATGATGAAGAAAAACATTTTATGAAAATAAGCCATCTTCAAGCAGAGTGCAAGACAGACATACTTCAACTCTATTCCTTACTAGATGTATAATTTATTTTACTTATTTATTCATTTTTAATTTCTAATTTATTTTTTGAGACAGGGTTTTGAAGGGCAGACTGCAGGAGGTCCCAAAAGGTGATAATTAACCAAGGAGATACTTTTCCTTCCCAGGAAACATCTGTTTGCACCTGAGAGACATCTCCGCCCTCAGGCAATACAAAAAAAGGCCATAAAAACCTATTTCCAACCTGACCCAGAGGACCACCAGTTTCCAGGTCCTACTGCATGACCCTATACAGCCTTTTTTTTCTCTCCTCTACAAATAAAATCTTTCTGACCTCTGCTTCTGGAGTCTACCTCTGCTTTCAATCTCAGAGCAGACCAAGAACCCTCAACACCTGAAAATTCCTGCATGTCATCTGCGTATCATCTGGCGACCATGAAGAGACACTTCTTCACCTGAGGTTGGTAGAGGTTGCGCCAAACTGGAAGGGACTACCCAGAAGTGGCTGTGATAGTCCAGCACTACAATGGAGTCTGTCCTCCCACAGAGCCCCCACAATGACTTAGCTATGGTGGATCTCTCAGGCCAACACTCTCTCTCTCTCTTCTCTGTCTCTCTGTCTCTCTCTCTCTCTCTCTCTCTCTCTCTCTCTCTTTTGCTAAGGAGAGTTTCTCCCTTGGAAACCTGGGAAAAAGCTCCAAACCCTCTACAGCTGTTAAGGCAGGGAACCTGAGAAATCAGGGACTGCCTAATGCTTCAGTGCACCAAGGCTTTTCTTCCTCTCAACTCTCGGCTCCCTCCCTCCTTAAACTCTCTCCCTTTCAGATCTGACCAGCTAAGGAGGAGGTCTGAAAACAGCCGGTGAAAAGGAAAGTTTGTCTTCAAGCTGTAAGAGTGCTCTGGCCAGTGGCAACTCTCTGGTGAGACCCGAAGTCTGAAGATGCAACTTAATAACCCACCCTGAGGCTCCAAAGGTGGCTAAGTATGGGAACCCCACCCCCAGCCATGACCACAGCAGACAGACAATCAGATCCCTACACTTTCTTCTCAGTTCCTGTGGCCTCAGAATGGAGATCACCCCTTGCAGGATCGACCCGGACAGCAGTGATGACTAATAATCCCTCATGCGTTGAGTCTGGAAACTCTTCTTTCCCACAACCCTCAGCTTCTCCTTCTTCTTTTCCAAGTAGATCAGGATGAGTGGCTACCCTCTTTGTCCTAAACAGCAGTGGATTTCCTTCTTCAACTGAGTCTGGGAGAGATCCCTACATCCCCTGTTCAAAACCTAATCCTTAAGACTATGTCCTCAAGAGCTCCTGTGTCTCTTGCAGCTCTCATTTCAGTTCAGTACACCAAAAGTGCTACTCTCTAACTTGGGCTTAACTGTCTTTGTTAGGCATCTGGCTGATATGGTTAAGCAGGTTCCTGTAATCTGCCCTCAGGGGAAAAACAAAAGAGTTAAGAGGATAGAGACCTCAACCCCTCTTCTCCATTTTTGTCCCTTACCGCAGCAACAACAACAACAACAAATGCTTTCAGACACTCCCTCTCTTTTCATAGAAAATATATGTCTCACAGGATATACAGGGGGACAAAAGTCTACCTCATCAAAAGTCCCTGTCCATGCCTCCACAGGGATCCTCCCTCTGGCCATGCAAGCCCTCCTGGTTACTTTAGAGCCCCTCATTGATAAGAGTTCTTATTACATTACAAGCCTTCAGCTGGTAGAGGACAACCAGGCACCTGGGTCGCAAGGCAAATAGGCAAAGCAAGACAAACAGGCAAAAAAATTCATCAGGGTCATTCTGGCCAGGTGGCTGCAGCCAGATGTACCTACATGTCTTCCCCATGACCCTAGCCACAGGTGGCAGTGGCAGGAGAGGATGGGAGAGAGGGATATCCTCTCCCATCTAGAGGATCTCCTCACCTGGGGACACCTAGGTAAAAGGAGAAAACCCCTGATCAATTTTCCCTTGCTTTCCTTTTTAGATTGGGAATCAAGCTTCTAGGATCCCAGAAGGATCCCCTCTCGCCTGCTTACTAAAACACTGGAACAACCTTGTTCCAGAAAGTCTTCAACAAAAGTGACTCAAGTTTTACTGCACCCAGGTCTGGCCACAGTATCCTCTGGGAGATGGGGAAAAAATGGCCAGAAGGAGGGAGCATTAATTATAATACCATTCTTCAACTAGATATGTTCTGTTAAAAAGGAGGGAAAGTGGACTAAAGTCCCATATATTCAATTTTTCTTTTTCCTAAGAGACCACCCAAAATGGCTGAGCAAATGCAGGCTAGATACCCAGTCCATGGTGACCCTTTACAAAAAGCCCCAAAACTCCCTTGAGGAACCAGAACCAAAAAAACCATCAAATGCCCAAGGGCCCGCAACAATGTCAAAGGCGGCCTCCCCTGCGGCAGAAATCAAATCTCCAGGGGAGCCACAGGATATATCCCACCCTGAGGAGATTGGTTGATGCCCCCTTACCCAGCTACCTCACACCTCCAACACAGTCCCACAGGACTTTACCCCATCCACTTAATTCCTGGAAGGGACAGGCCTCACTTCCCTGGAGAAACAGCAAGTACTAGATTAGGCAACTGCAGCCAGGGATGATTATCACTTAGATAAATGTGGCCCTACAGGCCTATCTCAGACTGGGCCCTTAGAGGAGGAAGACAGAGGCACTGGATACCTAAAAGGGAATCCCGATTCCCAATTCCCACAGGAGATCAGGCAGTACCTAGGTATGACCCTAAGTGGGACCCTGAAAATAACAAGGATGAATGGACCTGTAACCACTTCATCCACTGCATTCTTGAGGGTCTAAGGAGAGCCAAGACAAAACCCCTAAATTACTCCCAAGTCACGGCTGTACAACAAGGACCCTTAGAAACCCCAGTAGCTTTTCTACAGAGACTTAAGGATGCTTTACAAAAGCATACCAACATTGTACCAGAGTCACAGGAGGAGGAGATCATCCTAAAAGATAAATTTCTAACACAGTCAGCCCCAGATATTTGTAGAAAGCTTCAGAAACCAGTGGCTGAAGGGAGAAGAGATCTAGACCAATTGGTCTGTGTAGTCACATCTGTATACTATAATAGGGACTTAGAAAAATAAAAGAAGGACCTGGAGAGGGAAAAGAGAAAGGATAACAGCAGGAGACCCTGATCACAGCACTCAGAAAGGTTCCCCCAGGGCAGAGTCCAAATCCAAGGACTTGTTTTCAATGTGGACAGACAGGCCATTTTAGGAGGGAGTGCCCGCAGATGAAGCCACCTCCAGGACCCTGCCCCATTTGCTGGGAAAATCATTGGAAGGCACACTGTCCTCAGTTCCCTTAGGCCTCCCACCCAATGACAGGTGCCAGGGCTTTCCATTCAGGCTCCTGTGATCACCATAAAAGCAGAGG